AGGGATGGGAAGGAGGTGGCTAAACGTTAATATGCACTAGAGGGCCATGGGGCCCCATGGTGTCTCTTCGGGGCTCACCTGTCTGTACTGGGGACTGAGGCCTCTTTTTTCCCCATGGAAGATGTACAAGGCCCCGCGATTGTCATTCTCCATGGGAGCCCCGATGGCCACGTCCATCTGTCTGTCCCCGCTGATGTCCCCGATTTCAGACATGCTGGCCCCAAAGTGCCCGAACACCTGCCCTGTCTGCCCCTGCAGTATCTCGGTGCAGATCTTTTGCATCGTCCCCTGCTGGCCCCATCCAAAGAGACAAAGGGCGAAAGGATCAGCGCCCCCTACAGAGACTCTTCCCTGCTCCCTGCAGCACAGCACCCCCTAGTGCCACACTGGGGTATTGTTCAGCATTGACTGCAAGGAAAGAGCATCTTCTACTAAGCCCCCCACCCTGGTCCCTGCAGCACAGCGCCCCTTAGCCCTGGACTGGAGCATGGGGTCATCTCTGCCTAACAAGCCATTTAATGGGATCCCAGCCTTAAATCTGCCCAGCTACATCATAAACCCCAATTCTTCCCCTCTCCTACCTGCTGGTTAATCTGGCAGATATAGACGCGCCCTCCATTCAGGGGTGTATAGTACATGGGGGCTCCGATCAGAACCAGGTCCGTGTTCCCATCTCTGTTGAGGTCCACAGCGCACAGTGTGCCCCCGAAATATGAGCCGACCTGGAAGGGCAGATAAGTCACTCCTTCCTTTTAGTCACTTCCTCCTTCTCCCACTGGGACCCACCCACCCACCCACACACACACACAGAGCCTGCTGGGAGCAGGATTAAAATCCCATGTTCATTCCGTCCTCACCATCACCCTCCTTTTACACACAGCAGGTAGTACTGTCCCACTGAACGTATAGGCTGTTAGGTCTTGGAGAAATGCTGATTGTTCACTGTGGTTCAGTTCTTTTTAGCTGCTGTGTTTGTACAAGTGAAGTTTATTCATTGAGTCTACTTGGCTGAAATGGTCTTTCCAGTTTTGTTTGCCTGAGTGCACAGGAAGCTGTATGTGAGAGAGGTGCTTCCTGCTAGCTGTGGTGCCATTATTTAAACTACCATGTTTGCACAAGTTAAATGTTTTCCCTCTCTGTCTGCATCACTCTTGAGTCTCATCTAACTGAACATATAGGCTATGAGACTGTCAGCTCTTTGTAGTCTGTGTTTGTACAGTGCCTAGCACAATGGGGTCCTGGTCTGTAACTTGAGCTGGTCTGTAGTGTTCCTAGGCACTACCTCAAAACAAATAAATGATCCTCCTCATGCTGATTGTTAGCTGTGGTGCAGATGTCTGCACCAGTAGCATTTATCCATTGCCTGAGTCTCTGACTGAAACCTCTCAGTGCTGCCTACATCTGAGATCTGAACACAAACTGTTACATGTTGTGGAAATATTGCAAACTTCCTCTCCTCCCTCTCACTTTCTGCCCATCATTCCCCATGCCCTCCCCTTACCTGCTCTCCCAGCACCTCGGTTTCCTCCTGCCATCCTCCACGCTTGGAATCTTGACTGAATAGAATGACTTTGCCAATGTGATTGTGGCGAGGGGCCCCAACCACATAGCTGCTTTGCCCCCGGGATCTGATGACCTGAACTGAATAACCTGCAAGAGACAGAGACACGCAAGGGTGAGAGGGGGGGAGCAGGCATTTCAAGACACAGGACCTCACACAGCCTTACAGCAAAGGCTTGATCATGAGCCCTGCTGAGCCTGCATGGGGGTGTAGGTGTCAGGAGCCCCCCTTGCTCCCATGTGGGAGATCAGCATCACTGGACCTTGCACAGGAGGATGTTAAACTAACAACTCAAGGAGAGAGTGCTAAGGTGGCAAATGGGGTCAGCACTGGCTGACAGGGAATGAGTCCCCCCCACCCCACTCCATGCAGCA